ATAAAAAATAATTCCATATTAGAGAAGAATTTAGAGACCAATTCTGGTTGTTGGAAAATCTGTCACAACAAAATCCGTCTCTAATTCTGTCACAAAATCCGTCTCCAAATTATTTTTTAGGCTAATTTTCTTTCAATTTTCTGTATTTCAATTCATTTGTAATAGCTTGGAGGGAGTATTAAGAAGCTATTCAGGTATATCTAACTCCTAATAGATCTCTCACGTGTAGTGCTAGTGGAAGTGGCTTGAAAATTCCATATGTTCTTCAAGCTTCCACTTAGGAATTCGACTAGTTTTTAATTTTTCTTCTTAGCTATTGTGTGAACTTCTTTGCATATAACTTGTTTTCTGTTTTTAGACTTGACTACCTTGTGTAATTTGCTTCTTTTTCACGTATAGCTAGAATTCAAGAAATTTTTTTGAAGAAAAGATCATTAGCATTAAAGATTTGTGAAAATATTTTTGGAATTGAAGCTAACATAAAGGGTTTTAGCAATTTCCACTTGAAAATGATTGGTTATTAAGTAGCTCTTAGTAGCTCATATCCCTTGATAGTGCAACTTGTATACTTAGACCTCCAAGTGTTTAGTTTTGTTCCTTGAAAACAAAAACAATTTCTTTTTGCATTGCATATTAAAAACTTCTTTGAACTTAACCATGAGTAAACATTATCAAAGTGGTAGTGACTCAACATTTAAATTCCCAAAACCCATTTCCAATAATATTCAAAATGTTATTTCAGCAACATTCAAAATACTTTAAAAATTTTAATTTTGAAATGTATTAAATATTTATTGAAAATTTAATTTGGAAATGTTTTATAAACCATTTCTTAAACATTTACAAACACTTTGTAATAAAACTTTCAGAAAAATGTTTAATACATTTCAAATTGAAATGTTTGAAAGAGGGCATAATACATTGGGATAGCAGCTTAAAGAAAATAAAGGTGGTATGGTATGGGTTGGCCAGAGATGGTGGAGAAAGCAATGAGGGGTTCATAGAGAAAAAGATTTTTTTGGACACTTGAGATGTGCCTATACTTTAATAGAGATGAGTAATTGATATAATTGATGATACGTGTCACAAGAAGAGAAAAATAAATATAAATTAAAGGTGTTAATAAAGGGTTCCAGTGTGTAAAGAAATAGAGTTTTTGAAGTAAGGATGCAATATGTGGAGTTGGTGTTGCTGGGGGCAATTGAGAAGCCCAAATTTAGGATTGACTTACCAAAGCAAAGCAACAGCAGAAATAGAGTGAGAAAGGAGAAGGAAACAAAATTGGGGACAGATTGTATATTCTTGGCTTGGGACAGCAGCCACTCCCCCCTTTTTTATTGCACCCTTTTTCTTTTGGTTCAGTGTAATGTAGCTCTTGCCCCTTTAGATGTAGGCAAAACTAACAGAATAGCAGATTCATACTGTATCACATTATTCTTCTGCATTTGCCCATCATTTCATACTCGCTTTATAAATTGTCTATTTGATGCCCTTTTTCTTATGGGTAACAACATTGCTGCAATCAACTTTAGTTTCCCTACATA